CTAGTTAACTAAATACTTTATTGTATTACAGCAAGTGCACTTTACTTAAACTTTTTTTTCATTTTTTTCAAGTACAAATATGTTCATTCTTACAAATAAAAACAAAATGCGTTCCGGACATGTCTATATGTGTCGTGGACAGCCTTTGGAATATGTTAACGATATCTACACATTTAAGTTGCATGAATATTCATGATCCAACAATGAATAACAAAAAATATATCTTTAGTCGCTCACAGTTGAAGGCTTGTTGTGCTGATGATAATATACTTGACCATGAACGGTGAAAATATTCAATCACTATCGCATTGTACATGTTTCATATGCAGATTAAACTCAGTATTGCAACTCGCAACTAAGTAACTAACCTAAGAACAGTGAAATACGTACATACGCAGTTAAGGCGACAAATTAATCCTTCTGAATACATTATTTGCGATGTTTAATAAAATATTTAAAGTTTAGTTGATCAGGGATAGTATTGCAGATCTGATTACACGGTTATTGACACTCTCAAATATAATAATCGAAACCTCCGATTCTCTGTACATGTCTCGGAGACGCTCACATAAGCCATATTAATATGGGTTCCGCGTAACTTAATACGTCATTCGTTTCTTCTGTACAGCCACATATCATGATTTACAATTACAATTTCGTCACTATAACTTTACTATACGGCAATACTAGGCTGCTTATGACATTCTAAAAATAAATCACTTCAGTAAACAAGCTGTAATTCCCACATTACGCCGAATCAAAATCGATGAAATTCTGGATCCCGCGAAAACCTGGATCTGTGAAGTGTCATGGGGAATTTCGTCGTCTTGTCTCTATCACGTCCCCCTGAGGTACGGGATCAGAAAAGTCACTTAAGCTTTACAGTCAAATAGACACACACAACGAAATACGTATCAATAGCTAGTCTTTAGCACATCGAGAACACCTCAAGGCAAACTGCCTCGTCCAAGACTCTGCCCAGGACTGACCAAGACTCTCTCGCCTCGTGGAGCTCTATCTCTGACCAAGGACTAAACCATTTATTACATATCAAAACTTAACCAATTACAAAGAAGTAGAAAGTCTATAAGGCATAACCTTCCCACGTTCAATTTGCACATAGCCAATCACACTAGATACTAAACACGTCATATCTACTGATTAATCATCGCTATATTAATAAACTACACATACTAACTGTCAGAAATAGTAGTTCGAATGGCGACGGTTATATCGTAATTAGTTCCAAATCACTGAGTCAAGTTCCGTCCAGGACTTCGCATGAGCCTAAATGATGACAGACATAGCACACAGCCATTCACTAGCAACCAGCTAACCAAGTCAGTCAACAGATACGCGAAAACTAATTCA